CAATTCTGATTATGACATTTAAAAAACCCAAATCTTATAAAATCCACTGCCAGACTGCAATGCTAAGAGGTTCAGTTTCAATGTATTATAAAATATTTGTTTTGTATGTGTTTGTGTGTGTGTGTGTGTCTGTGTGTGTGTGTGTGTGTGTATGACTGATTAGGAAAACAGAAGTATTTTGGCCAATGGAGCAGATGATTATTTTACTCATTATACACAATACACAGAGAGTCAATACATTCTCAATCTTGACTACTCCTAACCTACTCACCACGTACCTCACTGCTAAAGGCTCAACCACACAATTTCCCAAACAGCATCTGAAGCCACTGTCTGACACTCCACCTGTAGCACCAAAGCCAGTCTCACCATTTATGATTATCTAGTGTTCTAGACATTGGGAGGCAGAACAATCCATCTACAGTATGCATTAAAGCTGATGCCATACAGAGATAGTATCCATTTTTGTTGATAAGTTTTAGTTTCAGTCAATGACCCAAAAACCTTTATAGCATATGATCTGCTCAAGGAATTTTAGGCTGGCTAAAACAACATGGCTAACTAATATTTAATTGATATCATCGCAAACATTGTCCTGAGAGAATTTGTTAGTCATTTACTCCCTCTGTATACTCTCTTAATCTAATGTTCAAAATCCATTTCTACACATCCTTTAGGTCACAAAACTATCACCATACAACTATTTTTACTTGAAGAACGACTATTCTGTCCCCATATTCTATTAAACATACCAACGCATGTAGAAAAAAGTATATGTATATATGCATATATATGTGTGTAGAAAAAAGTATATGTATATATGCATATATATGTGTGTATATTTGTCTGCATATGTATGGATGCATATATGTATATATGTGCTTATATGTGCACGTGCATATATTACATATATATGTAATTTGCCCATCTCTGTGATAGGCGTATATGTGTGGTACATGGTATGTGTATACAATCTCATCTAAACCACAGAACACAGAAACAATTTTTGACTATTTTCTTAATTTACTCAAAAGTGATGACTAGTAGAGAAGTTGATCTATTTCATACAAAGATGCCTTCAGGAATTAGTGCTATATTTTCTCTTAATAGCACAATTTTGAAAAGAAAATATGCTACGTATCATAATTCATCTTTTTCAATATATAAAATGCACTTGATGCCTATGTTTCTGCATATTCTTACATAGTAATCTTTTAGTAAAAATAAAATATAAAATTTCTAAAAATTGCAGTGAAGTTGCTTTATTTAACATTGTAGTTCAATATGAATGTTAATAATCTAAAGTATGAGATCAAGCAATGTAACTCAAGGGCTTCTTATAAATATTTTTATTACTGACAAGAAACAAATTTATTAAAGTGGTTCACTGTTGAATGTATTTTTCTATCACAAGAAAGAATAAAACTCAAGTAAAAAAAGTTATATATTTATTGAGAAAACAAAATAATTCCTGAAGACAGGAGATTTGTTTACTTTGATGATCAAATCCTTGTCGGAAAAAAAAGGAACCAGCATAAACCAACAGGCCCATGTTATTAGCTGCATCTTCTCTTGCTGAAATGCAGTATTTTAAACACAGGGTACACATATGTACATTTGATAGTATACAAAAATGTACTGTGTCATTGGAAATACATTGTTAAAAAGCAATAAGCAGCTATTAGGGAAAAAAAAGCATTTTGCGTAGTTATGTACTCATCAAAATGAGTGGGAGGAAGCAAAATAGAGCTTTCTCATGTATGACGTAAAATTTCCATTTGAAAAATGGCAAGATTTACTCTGAAAGTTAATCGTTATGTCCGCATTTAAATACAAATAAGATAGTAATTCTTTTGTTTTTTCCAGATGGCAATAATGTTGATCTGCTTCTGTTTATTATGATTATGTTTACTTTTTAATTAAAATTATCAGGGTGACATTGGTTAATAAAATCAAATAGGTTTCAAGTGTACAATTCAATAATGTGTCATATGTATAATCCACTGTGTGTTCACCACTTGAAGTTAAATTTTCTTTCATCATCAAATATTTGACCCCTTTTACCTCTATCTACTTCTTCTATCCCCACTTCCCTCTGGGAAGCACTAATCCACTATCATGTCCATGAGTCTCTGTTTTTTGTCACATTCATTTGTTGCTTTCAGTTTTATATTCCTTATGTGAATGAAAGTATATGGCTCTCAACTTTTTCTGTCTGACTTATTGCACTTATCATGATATTCCCAAGATCCATCCATATTGTCACAAATGGCTGTATTTCATCTCTTCTTATGGATAAGTAAAATTCCATTGTGTATATGTACCAAATCTTTATCCAATCATTTATCAAAGGACACTTCAGTTGTTTTCATGTCTTGGTCACCGTGACTAATGCTACATATATCGAGGTGCAGATATTGTTGCAGATAAATATTCTCAAGCTTTCTGGGTGAATATCCAGAAGTGGAATTGCTGGGTCATACGCTAATTCTACACTTAATATTTTGAGGAACCTCCGCACTGTTTTCCATAGTTTCTGTACCAATTTGCATTCCTACCAACAGTATATGAGGGTTCCTTTCTCCCCACAACCTCTCAAAAACTTGTTACTACTTGTCTTGTTGACGACAGCCATTAAAACAGGTATATCTATTTATCCTGGTTTTGACTTGCCTTTCTCTAATAGCTGGTGAAGTGGAGCATCTTTTCGTATGTCTGTTGTTCTGAAAGAAACATCTGTTCAGGTCTTCTGCCCATTTCTTAATTTGATTGTTTTTTGATGGCTGAGTTGTGTGAGTTCTTTATATATTTTGGAAATTAGACCCTTATCAGAGGCATTGTTTGCAAATATATTCCCCAATTCAAATGGTTGCCTCTTTGCCTTCTTGATGGTTTCTTTTGCTGTGCAAGACTTTAAGTTTGATATAGTCCCATTCGTTTATTTTTGCATTTATTTCCCTTGCCTTTGAGGTCAGATTGATGAAATTCTCCCTAAATCCAAGATCCATGAGTTTAGTATATATGTAATGTATTGTCAGGCCTTATATTTTAGTCTTTGATCTATTTTGAGTTAATTTTGGTACATGGTAATAGATAGCAGTCTAGTTTCATTCTTTTGCATGTGGCTTTCCAATTTTCCCAGCATCATTTATTGAAGAGGCTTTCCTTTATCCATTGTAATGTTTTTGGCTCCTTTGTTGAAAATTATTTGCCCACATATAGAGTTTAATTCTGGACTCTCTATTTATTCCATTGGTCTGTGTGTCTATTTTTCTGCCAATATCATGCTGTTTTGATTTTTGACAGTTTGCAGTGTAAATTGATGTCAGGCAGAGTGATACCTCTGGCCTTATTCTTTTTCCTCAACTTGCTTTGGCTACTTGCTTTGGTTATTTGGGGTCTTTTGTGCTTCCATATAAATCTGATGATTTTTTCTTCTATTTACTTAAAGAATGCCATTGGAATTTTGATGTGGATTACATTAAATCTGTATAATGCTTTAGGTAATAAGGTCATTTTAACTATGTTGAATTTTCCAATCAATAAACACACAATAGCTTTCTATCTTATTTCTGTCTTCAACTTCTCTTGTAGTTTTCAGTGTATAGGTACTTCATATGCATTGTTAGGTTTATTCCTAGGTGTTTTATTCTTTTTGTTGCAATTGCAAAAGGAATTATTTTTCTACTTCTTTTTTCTGACACTTCATTATTAGAGTATAGGATCACTATGGATTTTTTAATGTTGATTTTGTATCTAGAAACTACTATATTTGCTTGTTTCTAGTAGTGTTCTTATGGAATCTTTAGGATATTCTATATAGAGAATCATGTCGTCTGCAAATAGTGATAGTTTGACTATTCATTTCCTATTTGGTGCATTTTATGTCTTTCTCTTGCCTGACTTGCTAAGACTTCCAATGTTATATTGAATAACAATGGTGATAGTGGACAGCCTTGCCTTGTTCCTGATCTTAGAAGGAAGTCTTTTAGTTTTTCACCATTAAGTATAATGTTGGCTGAGGTTTTGTCATAGATGACCTTTATTATGTTAAGGTATTTTCCTTCTATACCAATTTAGTTAATTGTATTGATCATAAATGCATGCTATATCTTGTCCAAGGCTTTTTCTGCATCTATTAATATGTTCACATGATTCTTATGTTTTAATTTTTTTATGTGATGTATCACATTAATCAATTTGCATATGTTGAAACATCCTTGTGCCTTTGGGATGAAGCACATTTGATCATGGTGTATAAT